TCTGGTTTAGGACTTGTCCCGTACTATTGCAACTGCTTGCATTTCTGTCTCTTTCCAGGCAACCACCTTCTTTGGGATCTTGACCAAGTCTTACATTCTGTGGCTTCCAGTAGTTAGCATACGGTATACATGACTTGGCACAGAGTAAATGTTTGTTCCCTGAGTGAGTATATGAGCTTGAAAGTGATTGGGGCCGTGGGAGGGAGGAGAAGGAGAGGGAAAGAACAGAAGTAACAGGTAGGATAAGGACAGAGACTTATTGCTGACAGGGAAAGGCAGTGTTTAGGCCCGATCCCACCGGGCAGTTGGATATCCCTCTCACAATCCAGGACTGCTGGCTCCCAATTGCTCACCTACCTGCCTTCCTGATTGCCCCTAACCACTTTTGCCGGCCAGCCTGATCACCCCTAACCATTCCCATGCCAGCCTGATTGATATCTAACTGCTCCTCTGCCAGCCTGTTTTCCCCCAACTTCTCTCCTCTGTCAGCCTGGTCACTCCTAACTGCCCTTCCTTGCAGGGTTGATCACCTTCAACTGCCCTCTCTTGCAGGCGTGGTCCCTCTCAACTGCCCTCCCTTGCAGTCCTGGTGCCTCCCAACTGCCCTCCCTTGCTTGCCTGATCACTCACAACTGCCCTCCCTTGCAGGCCTGGTCCCTCACAATTGCCCTCCCCTGCTGGCCATCTTGTGATGGCCATCTTGTGTCCAGATAGGGGCAGGTTTTTTTTTTTTTTTTTTTTTTTAAAAATATATTTTATTGATATTTTTTTTACAGAGAGTAAGGGAGAGAGAGAGAGAGAGAGAGCTAGAAACGTCGATGAGAGAGAAACATCGACCAGCTGCCTCTTGCACACCCCCTACTGGGGATGTGCCCGCAGCCATCGTACATGCCCCTGACCGGAATCGAACCCGGGACCTTTCAGTCCGCAGACCGACGCTCTACCACTGAGCCAAACCGGCTTCGGCGGGGCAGGTTTTTTGATCACATGGGGGCAACTATCGATCTTGTGTGTTGGAGTGATGGTCAATCTGCTTATTATTCTTTTATTAGATAGGATAGAGGCATGGATTGGGGCCAGTTGGTTTGCCCTGAAGGGTACCCAGGATCAAGATAGGGGTTCCCTTGGGGCATGGGGCGGCCTGGGCAAGGGGCCTGTGGTGGCTTGCAGGCCAGCCATGCCCCCCAGCAACCCAAGCGGAGGCCTTGGTATCTGGGATATATTTACTTTCTACAATATAAGCTTTGTAGCCTGGAGTGAAGCCAAGCCTCCTGCTCGCTCCTTAATGGGAGCTGTTTCTGCTTGGATTTGTTTATCTTCTATAATTGAAACTTTGTAGCTTTGGGTGGAGGCTTAGGCCGGCAAGAGCAGGCGGAAAGCTTGGCTTCTTCTGTTGCCAGGGCAATGCCTCCCTCCTGCTCTCTGTGGCTGTAACCATCTTGGTTGAGGTTAATTTGCATACTCTCTCTGATTGGCTTGTGGATGTGGCTGTGGAGTGGAGTGATGGTTAATTTGCATATTACTGTTTTATTAGGAAGGATTGTAAATGCTTAGAAACTTCTTCCTGGGGTGGGGAGGTTCTGAGGGGAGAATGCATAGTTATTTTGCTTATGTATCTAAAAATGCCTGTGAAAAGAAACAGAAAAGGGGCCATTATTTGCTCTTTGGCAGGGAAACCAGATGGCTGGGCAGCAGTGGGAAGGAGGTTTTGTACTCTTGTACCCTGTGAATTCGGCACTTGTGTGACTGATAGTCCCTGAATACCTGAGATGGAGAACATGCTCAAAAGCATGGGGAAAAGGTACCAAAAATCCAGATTAATAAGAATAAGAGAGGATTTTCCACCCTCTCCCCTTTTTTTTTAAATTAAGAAAAAGAAGAGGAAATAGGGGTCCCAGTCTGCGTAATGCCTAGGGCTTCCAGGGCTTTTATTCAGTGTTTGTAGTTTGTGGGAATTTGGGCCAGTTTTTGAGTGTGCTAGAAATCTAATGGAGAGCTTTTATATTTTATATATATATATATATATAATAAGGCCCTCTTGGGCTGGACTGAGCGGGATCATTTTTCTCCCTGGAATGGAAGCGTGGCTCTCTTGCCCTGTTCTTCCTAGGCAGGCACGAAGTCTGACCTCCTTTCTCTGAGTCAGCACAGAACTAGGCCAGACTTGTAGGCCAGGCTTGTAACAGCAAAGGTTTGAAGGTGAGGAGAGGAAACTCACTGGGCATGCGGCCTTGGAAAGTCACTTACCTTTGCTTCAGTTCCTTCATCTGTAAAACAGGGATCAATACGTACTTATAGAGATGGTATGTATACATTGTCCAGCATGGAAGCTGGCACCTGAGGTAGTCTTTAAAATGGTCTTATCATCATTATTGGTTAGTGCCGGTTGATCTTAGGCTCCTGGAAGGAGTAAAGGACCTGGGATTCTTCCCCCTGAGAATGACTGATAGATGTTTAGGGAAGGAAGGAGTGGCTCAGTTAGCTCTTGGTGTGCCTGGACTAGGTGGTTTTCTGCTGGTCTCTTTAGAGTGGTTTGTGTAGCTGCAGTCCAATGAGTGGCTGCCTGGTCCCATCTGGCCTCGCTCGGGCCTGGCCGTGGGCTGGAGAACATGGCCTCTCAGGTTTTGGACGCTAGAGCAGCTTCGGTAGTCTCGGCGGCATTCTGAGGGAGCTCCAGTGCTTGCTGTCAAATCTCTGCTTGCTTTGCAGTTGCTAATTTCCAACTGCCACAGCAAGTCTCCGACCAGTTCTAGAGTCACTGTGGGCGTGACAGACTATGCCTTGGAGGGGGAGGGGTAGCAAAGAATTTGTGGCCATTTCACAAGCCCAACCTTGTTTGATCTGCTTCTTGGGCTAATATTGGGCCTAGAGAGAAAAGGTTCTGTTGGTTTCTCCTGTTTCCTGTATCGCTGATACCTTCTTTAGTCCAAGGTATGAGCTATTAAGGAATTGGAGACATTTTGTTTGAACTCAAAATTGGAAAGAAGGGTAATAGCTGCTTTTATGTATCTAAGATCCTTCTTGTGAGGGAGGGACTAGTTCCAGGGAGCGGAAATGACTGGAAAGCCTTTCGTTATGGAAGGTTTGCCCTGTGAGGTGGTGAGTTTTGTTCCCCGTCCTTAGCCCGCTGCGTTGTTAGAAGCAGTAAAGCAGGAGTCAGGCAAGCACACACCTGGGGCTTTGAGGGAGCATTTTCCTCACTGACTTACATGATTCCTGTTGGTATAAAAAAATCTCTGATTCTCCTAACCGGTTTGGCTCAGTGGATAGAGTGTCTGCCTGCAGACTGAAAGGTCCCACGTTCGATTCCGGTCAAGGGCATGTACCTTGGTTGCGGACACATTCCCAGTAGGGGGGTGTGCAGGAGGCAGCTGATTGATGTTTCTCTCTCATTGATGTTTCTAACTCTCTATCCCTCTTCCTTTCTCTCTGTGAAAAATCAATAAAATATATTTTTAAAGAATCTCTGATTCTGGAAAGACCATTGAGCTTCGTGTACTGAGAGAGGATGAGGCTGGGTGGTGCTAGGGAAAGAATTACTGAGCGCAGAGTGGAAGAGCTGCCAGGCGCAGCTTACGAACTTGGTGTAATAGTTCAGCTTTCCCTGCTGGAGCCCTGAGGGTCAGGCTGCAGGGGTGCTGTGCAGAAATCTCTCTTTAGCAGCGTCAGGGGTGCTGCATTTGGAAGGTAGGCTTTCTACGGGTCCTCTGAGGTGAGAGTGAAAGGAATTGACGTAGGAAGTGTGTACAGTTGTTTCAGCAGCTGTAGAATAAATGGTCAGCTTGTTCACTTAATGAAAAGATTGTGGTACTTTTCCTGTATTATGTGTTTTGCCCTACTCAAACATGATTTTGAGGTCTCCTGCTTTTATAACAGTTCCAGGCCCATGTGGAGCGACTGTCTGCCAATGGAGAACTCCATGTCAATAACTGATCAGAATATGAGCCGATTTCCTTCCTTACTTCCTTTGTTGTGGAGAGGATAAAGGCTACCGCTCAACTGTTGTAAAGCTGCTGAGCAAGAAGTTTGATGTCGGTACAGGCGTTGACTTCCAGTGCTGTCAGACTGACCACTTCGGTCAATGTGTTTCTAGGAGCCCACCCCATATCCAGCCCTTGGTGTTTTAGAAAACTGAGAGGAAGGCAATAAGCTTCAGACACAGAATGGTGTTAAGTTTTCGGTGGGAAGCAAAATTTAACAATGAAATATGCCAGCTAAAGCAAAGAGTGCTTTGCTGACTGATGCATTTTTAGGCTGGAAAATTGTGACAAACCTCAACCCACCAACTGTGTAGCCCATTGGCTCTGCTTGGGCCTTTAGTGTTCTTCCTGATTATAGTAATCCTGGCCCTGGCCCGTGTGTTTGGTTGGTTGGGTGTATGGTTGCTAGTTAGATTCTTGACTGGGGCACATGCCCAAGTTGTGGACTTGATCCCTAGTAGGGAGTGTGCGGGAGGCAGCCGATCCATGTTTCGCTCTTAATGGATGTTTCTCTCTCCCTCTCCCGTTCTCTGTAAAAAGTCAATTAGAAATCTTAAAAAAATAATGATTATGTTATTCTGATATGGTTGCAGAGCATTTCTGATTCTCATTATTCTCATTTCCACTTGTGATTATAAATGATTCTGCAGTATGAGCTGCTTTGTCTTTGATTCAGTGTTTTATAACGTGTGTGTGCTGATTATCTGTGCTGATTTGTTGTTTTCTTACTTTTCAGAATGGACTGCTGAATTATGAAGCATTTCAGACCCAGTACCAGAACTTCCCTCTGCCATTCACTCCTGTATCTTCTACTAGTTATTTAAGTTGAACTTTTAATATCCTGCCAGCTGCTCTTCAGACACACATGGTGCATTGTTGCCATTCCCCGGATTGCATCTTTGAAACACAGGCTCTTAGTAACCTCCAGCGAACAAAGAGGCAACCTCCCGGGTACATTGACTGGGAGGGTGTCACCCTGACTGCCCTCTAGCTTTTGCTGCATCTCAATTTTACTTCACCATGGAGCCTCGCATGGAGTCCTGCCTGGCACAGGTGCTGCAGAAGGATGTGGGGAAAAGACTGCAGGTTGGCCAAGAACTCATAGACTATTTCTCAGACAAACAGAAGTCCGCTGACCTTGAGCATGACCAGACCATGTTAGATAAACTTGTGGATGGACTCGCTACCTCTTGGGTGAACTCTAGCAATTACAAGGTAAGCTGTGCATTAGAAGGCACTCCAGGTGGCTGGGCTGCCTTTGTGGATCCGAATTGGTCCTTAGGAAAAAAATCCTTTGTGAGCAATCAGCATGATTCCTTGGCTTCCAGTAAGACACCTGGTCAGGTTATGGCTCTTAGACATTTCATTCTAGAAGAAGTAGAGTTTCCTTTGATTTTTGTTTGAGATAAGAAACTGTTATCTTTCATCACTTTGAGAGAAGGCCGAATGAACCATAAAGAGGAGGTCTTATGTTGGAAAGTTCACAAGCCTTAGGGTAGAAGTGAATGTTGTGTCCTACCTTGGGCGGGTCATATCTTGCTGAGTGGCCCTTCCTGAATGAGGACTGACTTCCTGATTTTCTCGGGGACTGTTCCGTGTGATGGCCTGGAGCTTCTACTTCAGTTCTAAAACCCAGGCTTTCCGTGCCCTCGCCTGATGGAAGGGGCAGGGTCCTCTGACCAGCTGAGATGTGAAGGTTGACCATATATACCAAGGACAGAGCTTTCATGAATAAAAACTGGAATGGACTTGAAGTGCAGAAGAGGTGTCTCGCTCTCTCTGCCTCCCCCTTCCCTGAGGGTAAATGACTGTGGGTTGGCTTTTAGTTTGACAAGAGGGAGGCACCTTTGGTTCTAGGTTGTGTTGCCAGTGGGTGCTGTAGACATTGTGAAAGGGGCTTACAGAAACAGAATTTTTGTGCTTTTTTCATTGACGGAGTCTTCTGAGATTTATCTGCACTTGGAAACTAGTGCTTACAGTATTCCTTTGTTTACTTGAGTATGTTATACAGTTTTCCAAATACATTAAACCTTGGTCTTGTCTAAGAGTCAGCAGACTATACTTATGAAGGGTGTTACATAGGAATCTAATATTTCACCTACAACTGGATATAAAATTTATTTAAAAGCTGGGCTTAAATTCTACTTCATCTGTTTATTCATTTAGTTGGAGTTAATAGGTGCTCCTTACTGTGTGGCATTGGTGCTGGAAGGTAGGAGTGTCACAGAGTTGAGAGGTCAGACTCGAGTCATTACACTTAAAAAAAAAAAAAAAAAAATATATATATATATATATATATATATTTTATTGATTTTTTACAGAGAGGAAGAGGGATAGAGAATTAAAAACATTGATAAGAGAGAATCATCTATCAGCTGCCTCTTGCACAACCCCTACTGGGGATGTGCCCACAACCAAGGTACATACATGCCCTTGACCGGAATCGAACCCGGGACCTTTCAGTCTGCAGACCAACGCTCTATCCATTGAGCCAAACTGGTTTCGGCGAGTCGTTACACTTTTGAGGGCTGTGCAGTCACCTTGCATATTGGAAGCACAGCCCCACTCTTTCTATGTATGAGGTAGGATGCTTCCGGCTCAGTTGACTTAGTTACTGTTAGGAGCTTAATTTCCTCTAAGAATTTAAGAAGTCCACAGTATCAGGGAAGAACAGTGTCCGCTGTCTTCACCTGAGAGGAAATCTTTCTCGAAGCTCCAGGCAGACTTTACATCGCAGAGTGGCTTCGCGTGCCTCCCCCAGCCTCGCTGGACAGTGGATGGTGTCCATGGTTGCTTTGACTGGCGTGCTTCACCTGCTGTGTTAAGAAGGGGGCCAGCTTCTGCTGAATAAAGCACTGGCCATGTGAAAGGGGAATATGTGGACAGTGTCAGACTCCTGGTAGGAAGGTTAGGCGGGGACCTAGGTACCATGGTTAACTAAGTAACCCACAGTCTGCTACACTGCAGGAGCTTTCTTAACCTCCCCAAGCTTTAGTTTCCTCATCCATGATGTTGGCATGATTGAGTAACTGTCAGCACTAACTGAGAGTGTATGCCATAATCTTATCACATGCCTGCACGTAATAAACACTCAGACATTAGCAATTGTTATCAAGACTTGGTTCCTGTCTTCAGGGAGCTCAGAGTGTAGGTGGGGTGAGCACTGGTAAAGAAGCAGATGTCACAGTGCAGGGTGTGCAGGAACGGAAAAACCCAGAATTTGGTGGAAGATAGTAGTAGCGCTGCCAGGAGGAACCCAAGATTTTGAAGATTGACTAGTTTTTTCAGAACAGCACTTGCAAGCAGAGTTTTGTTTTGTTTCTTTATTCACCATGGAGCCTCGCATGGAGTCCTGCCTGGCACAGGTGCTGCAGAAGGATGTTGGCCGAGAACTCATAGACTGTTTCTCAGACAAACAAGGTGACACTTTCTGGGCTGTGGCAGCTCGAGGGAATGAGGGAAACACGCTGAGCAGCTTTCCTACTTAATCTCGGCAGCTTTTATTCAGCCGAGCACTGCAGTCACCTGCACATTTAGTGGGCTTTGTGGCAACAAACATCTGAGTGGGGGCCGGGTGCTTTCTGTGAGTACAGCCCCACAGCCCTCTCTTCAGTCTAAAATCCCCACAGCGCCGGAGACTTAGTGTTTTTTACTTGTCATTTGACTTGAAGTGAATGCATGTATAACTATTATAATCTTTATTTGCTTAGGATGTATTCCACTGCAAAAGTATTAATATATTTGATTGTGGGTTGCTGTCCCAAATTCTGTTCAAAGGTGTGTGTGCATACTAGTGTGTGTGTGTGTGTGTGTGTGTGTGTATATATATATATATATATATAGAGAGAGAGAGAGAGAGAGAGAGAGAGCGCGTGCGCGCGTGTGCGCGCGCACTATATGCACTCTTTTAACTTGAAAAATTCTAATCTTTAGTATTTTGGATCCATCATTGTGGACCTGTATTAACATTGTGGAATAATAATAACAGCCCAGGTGGTTATGGGACATTTTACTATGTACCAGAAAGTGTGCTAAATATGTGTTCATTTTTAACTTATATTTACCATATGAGGTAGATATTGTTCTCATTTTATAGCTGAGACTGATGCTTCATAAACCCATTACCTTATTCAAGGTGACAGAGCCAGTAAGTAATGTTTTGGAGCTCGAACCCCCTCTCCCCGGTGTTGATGCAGCGGTAGTGAATCCCACACTTACTCTGATGTGGCAGGTACTGCACTGAGGGCTGGGTGTCCAGAGGGGAAAAGATTGGCCCGAGCTCTGCTCTGACTGGGTATGGTCACTGCTTGGCACTCGCTCTGTCTCTGTCTAGTATGTCTGCACTTTACCCCTGGGCACTATTGTCTCTAGGCCCATGCTGTCTTGTATAATATTTGAAATTTGTAGGATTCCTATTGACCTAAGGCTTCCTTTGCCTCTACCCTAATTATCTTCCTGGTCTAATTGGGGGACCAATAAGGCAGATAGAGATCAGTGCAAATGTAGGATAAGAAATAATTCACCGTTAAAGTGCCTCATATTTGCACAGGTTCAGAGAAGCCTCTCTCCTATTTCGTACCTCCCTTTCTGGGCAGCACATTCTCTGTACGGGGGCGAGTGGGCCGGAGGAGAAGGTGTTGTCAGATGCACGAGTGTCCCCTCATTTCCCTTGCCTATCTCCCAGAAAGTATGGTTGGGTTCAGATTAGGTGACTTCTGATCTTTTTCTGGCAGCCTGCGTGGTGTTGCCACCAAGTGACGGATCCGTTCAGCAGTTGTCCGTCCTCCGCAGGTTTTTCCTGAGTGTTACCCTGTTGGTTGCACAGAGGCACATTTTCGGTATAATTTTAAAGACAGTTGCCTCTCCTGTAAGTGGAAAAGCTGTAGTGAGCAGTACTAACCAAAAGCAAACAACAACAAAAACAAAAACTGCAGGAAAAGTTACTGCAAGGAAATTTATTGTATTGTCGAATAAAATGGTGTCCTTGATATATGTAGTTAATGGCACTGTTTCTGCATGCATGTTTACGCATATGCAAGGGCAGCAGAGTCTATTGGGAATAATTGAGATTTGAGTATGATCAGTCTGATTCCTCTCCTGGCTCTGCCACTTATACTTTTTTTTTATATTGAGTTTTTATTGGTGATTATAAGAATATGTGTTTATAACAGTAAAAATGTGATAGAAGGGTTTAACACACATATATAAGTTCTATAGCATCTGTTCAGAAAAGGTTATGTATGTATATACAATACAAACTATTCAAGTCTTACAAAACATTCTCAGAGTCTTCAACTGAGAATAGCCCTATTCAGCATGCTTCTCCTCCTGAGGTGGTTCATACTGAGCAAGCCTTGCTTTCAGTTTTTTTTTTCTTTCTTCTACAATAGCTTCATACTTCTCTTTCATTTCTGCCAATTCCAGACGAAGCAGCTTTATTTCTGGATTTTCTGGGGTAGCAGCTCCCAAGTGATGCTTTAAAAAATCCAAAGCACCATTAGGTTTCTCTGGTTCTTCATATAAGGTACCAATGCCCTGGCCAGCGTGTCCAGCACCCCTGCCTTCCGCAGCTACCTCCGGAACTGCTCGCTCTTCCAGTGGCGGCTTTGTAATGGGCACGGGGACAGCGGCTTTGGCGCAGCCAGCGCCGGAGAGCGTGGCTGCCGGGCTCTGACTGCCACTTAGACTTTGAGAGGTGATGCTCCTCCTCTGGGAAGGTGCGATGGTTCCCATTACACGGCATTAGTGTGAGAAAGTGAGCCAGTGTGCGTAAGGCGCCGGCAGGGCCTCGCATGCAGCCTGTGGTCAGTACAAGGAAGATGGTGAAGCTGTAATGTAGTTATCGGGCCAACTGATTACGAGATCTGTAGAAAACTAACCTTGGTTACATGTGGGGCCAAAGCTGCATGCCTTCCTGTGGCCCTGTCAGCCCGTGCCTGGGTCTTTGTGATGATGTGAACTTCTCGGCTGTGCACTGTTGGTCAATTGCCTGACGGAGTGGCAGCGGGCCGCGCATTCTAAGGGTGCGTTTAAACCTTTGATTGAGGGAGGACCCATGTGTTAGGAAGGTTACATTTTTTATTTTTAACACTTACTTACACTTTGCCTTGTTTCGGAAAGCTAAAATTTAAATAAGGATACATGTAATAAAAGAAATGATAAATGTCAAAGCAAAAAGAAAAAGAGACAGCTCGTGTGAGAACGTGGCGCCAACA